CATCATTCGTTTTCATTGGCACGTGGCAAAATTCCTTCTATTTTGCCCGTAGTGGTCCGCAACAATGATTCCACTTTTCACCATGTTGTAACACTACAACAAAACCGTTGTAAATTTTGAGAGCAGGATGTGTCGTGACAAAACGAACAAGTTTGTGTAATTACAAAGTTTTTGTGCAGGGGGAAGTAAAGAACCACCGTTTTGAAATGACAATTCGTTTCATAAAATTTGGTGAATGTTGTTAGATTACAATATGTGTCGTTTTTTAACAACATTTGTTGCTATCAAACTTTACATCGAATGTGTTGTAAATTTACAACAATTTTTTTTAACAGTGTGTCAATGTCTTAACTTTACTTGCAGGTTGAAGTTAGTAGGGGATCCAAAGTATACATGACGTTGCATGACAAAAATGAAGTTAAATCCGAGTGTGATGGGAACCCCGTCAAAATGGTGAGATAGCGCATAATTCTCCTCTTTGGACGTTCCAATATTGAAAATGTTAACTTAACTGCGAAAGGAACTCGTTTTGGATCTCTATGTATCAGGCAAGAAGTAAGGGAAGCAATTAGAAGTATTTTGTTTGAAGTACATCAAACCCTACTTTAAAATTTTATGTTCTTTTCTTAATTTTTTGTCCTATTTCAGAGTTTGCCAATAGGAACAAAGACCTACAATATGCTTCCCTAGACTGTAAACCGGTAACAAGAGCCATCAACAGTAAGGAAAATCAAGTGCGCCGATTATCTGAAAAGTCAGCATTGTCTCCAAGAAAATCCCGCAAGCAGAGATCCAAGTCTTCAAGGATAGTGGTGTCACCTAGGAAGCAGGGGACACCCAGAAAAATAGTTTCTTGAGTGAAGAGAAGCTGACACAAGATTAAATTCACCATTGAAACAAGGCAATATTGTCCTAGGAGAAAGACTGTTCTCTTATTCGAAAGAAAATATGAGCTTGTTTCAAGAGTAAATTTGATCTTGTGTCAGCGTGCACTTGAAACAAGGAAAAATTTACTTGAAACAAGAAACGATTTTTCTGGGCGCAGTTCTAAGTCCTTTCCGTTTTTATGTGGGGAGAACAGATGAACCATACGATGTGACTCTGAGAGGGCGGGACTGTACCGTAGAGAATAGGTGAGAATACTTCGAACATTTTAAAGTTGTACTTCGGACACTTGATTTTGCCAACGCCAGTAGGAAATTGCAACTGTTGTGTTCAGTGAAGTCTCATAGTCTCCTACCTTCGTTACCATTTGTTACTGTACCTTGATGGTGCATGTTAGAGGCACCAAAAAGCTGCTGGCAAGCAGGTGCATCAGATGAGTTGCGAAAAGCGTCTCGAAGCGCCGAGACAAGTCTTTGACCCGCTGGTGATACTTGATGAGATCTATTACCTCACGCTTAGAAGCAGCCAGTTCCAGCTGCAGAGCAATGGCGTGAAGCAGCGCAGTCAAGGTGATCAGGACAGAGAAAACCAACGCCCACCTAAGAAAAGGCATCCATCGTGTCACTTAGGCTGTTTCATTTTGATGTGTCAGAAACTGGTAAAACAAGTGTGAGTAGTAAAGGTGCCCCTTTCTTCCGGTCTGATAATTTGGTGGGATAATGTCCTGCTCGCCATCTTGGAGGGCTGTAACCTAACCTAACCTATTTTTGGGGGGTATTTTGGGTGTGCCTAACACATACCTAATTTTAGGGGTGTCTGACGAGAGCCTAACCCAACCCAAGGGGTGGGTCTTATCATCCCCTAACTCAACCTAACCTATCGAGGATTGG